AGATTGACATTTTCGGAAAAAAAGAACTACCTCTTTCAATGAGCTGGCTACAGGCTTGCACTCTCTCGCACACACTCATACACCACAGCAAATTTTGTTTACCCTACTGGCGTAAATGCATGTCTTTGGGGGAAACCGGAGCACCCGAAGAAAACCTACTCCAACACATGAAGAACATACAAGGTCCACACAAAAAATCCAACTGGCCCAGGCAGGACGCGAACCAGTGACTTTCTTGCAATGAGATGACTAAACCACAGCACCGCCTAATATTGTTTTAATAATCATGAAAATAACTAAGCGATTGTACACGAATGAAAATAATTTTTATTATGACTGTATCTCCTGGAACTATCATACAGATCTATGTTGCCAGATATTATAAACCTGGTAAAAACATTCATTTCAAAGGAATAAAAGCCACAATAATTTCCTTGCTAGATTGCTGCTAATTGATCCCTCGTTATACTATTTCTAATATTAAACTGTTTATCCTTAACTCTACTTTCTAAGGAAGTGACCATTTTATTCTCTTCAAAATATAGCATGGGAATGTTACAATGGGTATAGAAAAGAAACACCCCCCTTCAAAATAATTACATTTTGTTGCAATGTAGCCTAAAATGAAGACAGTTTTGTTTTATCTAGGTGTAATTATTTAGTACAACGTATAATATCCATGTAAAAGATATAAAACCAACATGTCAGAAAACAATTAACACTCAATTAAAATCTGCTGCCCTCTGCCAGAAAGTAATCAATGGGAAGAAATTTACCTTCCAACAAGACAACGACCCGAAGTACTGTAAGAATTGAAATATTGCAAATATTCTGATATCTTTGACAATTCAAAACATGAGCTGAAAACAGAGACTGGTGACTTCACAACCCACCAGGGAGGAATGCAGGAAAAACCAGTTCCTGCTGCATTTGCATCTGAGTCTGCTTCATCCCCCCAACTCACACATATGGTCATTTCAATGTTTGAATGTTCTAGAATTAACCAAACTGACTTTAACTATCATGTTTGATATCATTTGAAATGTCTCAGTGCGATTGGTACAATGGTCTCATTCCCTCAGAAATAGACATAATCAGAACAATAAATATATAATTTCAGGCATCTTTTGATCCACTGTGAGGGGTGTGACACTAAGTGTGAATGCCTTTTGTTATACATTCACACCCCCTTCCTTGAGGGAATTCTTGGATTATTTAAGGTAAGGACTAAGAAAAGCTCAGCGCGATTCTGCCTAACCAGATCAGCCCATAACATGGGGTCTGCCCCATGTTATGTATATTTCAAAGTCAGGAATGCATCTTTTTCATCTTGGATTTATCTTTGATAATTTGATGTTTTGTATTGATCATTTATGAATTGACTGATTGAATTGGCATAATACATTTACCTGACTAATAAATTGTAATGTTTGACCATATTTTGCTCACTCTGTAATTATTAATTCAAGTAGATTACGCTGTATCCTTGTTTCCGCACGTCTTGCGTCAGGTCAGTAGACGGACTAAAATCCAATTGAGATGGAGCATTGGCACACTAATTGTGTTTTAGCGATCCGGCTGACTCTTGATATTGATTCATGTGTACTTAGGTGGAAAGGGCGATAACTTCCGTCTAGGTCAACAAGGTGTTGCACGACTAACCTAGATTGGGTACCCGACCTTTGTTTGAAGGTAATATTATTCTAAATTAAGTTCATATGGGAAACCATGGGCTTGGTGAAAACCAAAGTTACTATAGAGTCCAGTAGTCGGGTACATTTATATTAATGCCCTAACCTCTAATTAGAAATGATGATTGTCTTAACTCAAAGGTGTACATCTAAGCGGGACTAACTAAAGTATTTTAGAACGAGCGCGCTGGTAGCGGCCATCTAAAGTATTAGTCAATTTACCTCTGTTTAATATTCAAGACTGACCGGAGTGTGACCGTGAGGGACGCCTTCGGCCGAGGCGATTTCTCTGAGCGACATGAGCACCCGAATGAACGGATGTAATAGTTACTAGTGAAGACAAAAGGTTCAAACATTTATCTAAATTACATATTGATATAATCTTCTTAATGTTTTATAATTGGAGTCAGATAAAACGAGGATAAATATATTAATATTCTAAACCATCTCATACTAAAATTGGAGTCGGATATGAGTTAAGTTAATATAAATCAACATTTCGCACTGGAAAGACCGAACATGCAGTGAACCTTCATCCACCAGTGGACACCGGCATTGGGCCAACTGGGTGGACCTTACAGTACACAGCAAAACTGACCACTCAGTGGTTAAAGGAGAAAAAAGTGAATGTCTTGGCATGTCCAAGTCAGAGTCCAGACTTAAACCCAATTGAAAATCTGTGGAATGACTGCAGTCCGCAAACGGACTACATCAAATTTAACTGAACTTGAACAGTTCTGCAAAGAGGAGTGGGCTAATATTGCAAAGTCTAGATGTGCAAAGTTGGTAGAAACGTATCCCAACAGATTAAAGGCTGCAATTAAAGCAAAAGGTTATTCAGCAAAATACTGAAACAAGGGGGTGATCCTTTTTCCACCCATTGATTCCGTTTTTTATGTTCATTTTTGTTTTTTTTAGACATGGTTATATCTTTTGGTTTGGTGTTATAAGTTGCACTAAGTAAATATAGTTAGATAAAAAAAAAATGTATCTGTCTTCATTTCAGGCTACAATGCAACAAAATATAAGTATTGTGTAGGTGGGTGATTCTTTTCTATAGCCACTGTATATGCAATAGTCTAATTATGTTAAATAACAACTTTAAATGGAAATTTAGCTAAAGATAAACACTGTTTGAGCTAATAACTCAATGACTCATTCGTATCAGTGTTGTTTGTAAATATTTAAGAATATTCTTAGGCTAAAGGTTTTTCTTTGCACATTTGAAAAATCATTCACTCCTTGAAAGATATGTCATTCAACTTGTAGTCTTCAATTCATTTGATTCTTTTTTAATAAAAGACATTTTACAAAAAGATTCTTAGGACAGCACATTCTAAAACATTTAACTACAGCAATAATGTTTCATGCAACAAATCAAGGAGACATGGAATGAAATCCGTTTGGGACAAATCTAACAAAAAAATGGCATATATAAGGAAAAGAAAAGCACTTAGTGATTCACTCATTATATGACAAACAAACTCAACAACGAAATCAATCAAGCCATGAAAGAATAATCAAGTCTAATAAACAGGGTGATCAGGAAACCATACACTTGTCTGTGAATCACTGAGTAATTCCACTGTTGCCGTAACTTTACATACAGTACATGGAAATGTGTATCAACATTGTTGCATAACAAAAATATTACAAACGTAATGGATCTTGACTTCTGTTTTATGTGGTGTAGCTTTATAAAACCATTTATTGCAAAAAGAAGAAAAGAGTTGGTATTATAAACTGGTTGTGGAAATTACAATGTAAGCATTTATTTGTTTAAAAACCACCAAGGAAAAAAACATTCACAGTAAGATCAGTAACATCTAATTAGGATAAAAAAAGATGTTCCATTGTAACTGCACATTTTTACAGAACAAGCACACTTTTAAATGAAACGTAAATGACACGGTATCACACAGATGTTTAGATATTCATTTAAAAAGAGCTCTAATTTCATTTATTTGTATGTTACTTGGTTTGGTATTGTCTTAAGTAATGACATTCCTACATTTTGCGGGTGATTTTAAATGTCAAATATACTGTTATTGTACCAGTAGGCTGTTTTGCGCCTGTTAGACACTTAGACATGCACTGGATCACAAAACTGACAAGTGGCCAGCAATACAAATGCACACTTTCTCTCTCTCTTAAAAATGGCATGAACACCTTTACATGCAGTTTCATCAGATGTGTGTGTGTGATTTTGTAGACAGGAACGTGTTTACATTCCCCAGATCTTTCTCTTTCCCTCTTTCCACTCGCTCTCTCTCTTTCTCTCTGGCCAGGCTGCGTAATCCAATTACTCTCGCTGTTTTTCAGTGTGACATTTGGGATTGCACTTCAATTCATTGTGTTTGAAGAGCGGCCTGGCAGAGAGACAGAAAACTGCGACCCTATAAAACGATTACGTGCAAACTCTTCTGTTGTATGTCAGCCTGTTGTGGGTTTCATTACTGATGATACCTGATCCAGTCCATGTGGACTGGCATGATCATTCATAATAATCTAATTCATAATAATAATTCAATAATTTCCGCTCATAACAATATGATGATCTCCCCAGTAACTAGTCCTCTCTAAACTTGTGTGAGTATAAGAAGTTAAGTTGGTTTTATAGGCTTATTTATGCCTTAAATAGATTTGGTTGAGCAACACCCCCCCCCCCCACACACACACACACACACACACACACACACACACACACACACACACACACACCTATCACTTGGCCCAGACAAGACAATGACTCTCTGGGCGTGTCGCCTAGCAACAGGATAATACTAAAAATACTCAGGCTGCACGTTCTCTCACTCCGAATACTGTACTAGACTGAGGAGAGAAGCTGCTTTTGAGAGCTAAATTACTACGCTACTGCTAAATCTGTCTCATTCATTCTTTTTTTTCTGTGCTCTCTATCATTCATTGTGCCAGAGCCACTGCCTCCCACCATCTTCCTGGATGTCTCACACAATAATTGCACAGCAGTTAGACACAGATAGACAGACATTCTCAAAGATATAGTAAACCATTCATTTAATTTCCTTCGGCTTACTTTCTTTATTTATCAGGGGTATCCACAGCAGAATGAACCACCAACGTATCCAGCATATGTTTTACACAGCGGATACCCTTCCAGCTGCAACCCAGTACAGGGAAACACCCATACACTCTCATTCACACTCATACACTATGGTCAATTTTAACATACCGAATTCACCTATAACGCATGTGCTTGGACTGGGGGAAACCGGAGCACCCAGATGAAACCCATGCAAACATGGGGAAAACATGCAAACTCCACACAGAAACACCAAGTGACCCAGCCGAGGCTCGAACCAGCGACCTTCTTGCTGTGAGGTGACAGTGCTAAGCACTGAGCCACCGTGTCGTCCCATGGTAAACCAATACTGATGAATAACAGTACAAGCATTTGTTTTGGTTCCAAATTTCCTGTGCACCTTTTCAATCTTGTCAGGTCATGTCATTCTAAACATAATACATTTAATAAAAAATACCCCAAAGCCACCCCCCCCCCCAAAAAAAAAAAAAAAACTTTTTGTAGTGTTTTTACTTTTGTAGAACCTCCCATTACAAAACTGTTCTTATTGCTAAAAGTATTAGAGTATACATCTAGTCTATTTCTTTTTATATTACTGGACATACTTATAACAGAATTACATAATTTCAGTTAAAATGCATTAAAAATTGGTAGTTTATTTCAAAGGTTGCTTTAAGGCTGAATTTGGGGTGTCTAATATATGTCTAATAGACAACTATACAGTCGTCTTGGCTAAAACAAGGCTGAATTTGGGCAGTCTAATTGATGTCGAATAGACATCTAAACATAGTCATCTTGGCTAAAACAAGGCTGAATTTGTGGCTGTGTAATATGTGTCTAATAGACATCATCTTGGCTAAAACAAGACTAAATTCGGGCTGTCAGTAAAAAAAATATTAGACGTATAAGAATAGGCCAAAACTTGACTATTAAAGAAAGGAATGACTACACATATAATTTGTCTAAATCACTGTCTAATCTGTCTATTTTATGACTAGTCTAGTTTTGGATTTTTCTTATGCTGTGGTCACACCAGAGTTTAAGCATGCAAAACTCTGTTGAATGGTGCTGCGAAAATGGGCGGGATTAAACAAGATGATTACACGTTAAAAAAAGTGAGCGATTGGTCCATGTTTTAAATTTCTGTCCAGAGACGTCATGTTTTGATCTTCGATTGGTCTCACGCAGTCATGTGATGCGATTTCGCAGGTCACCAAGTTCACCCATCTTGAACTTTCGAACGCAGCAAACTGTGAAACTTGTCGCACAAGCGTACGTTTCCAGTCTGAAGCCGCCTTTCCACGGCATACAACAAACGACAACTGACTGACTGGAAGTCATTCATTTTCAATGGAGAGTAGCCCGGGAGCTGAGTGGAGTTCTGATAATCTCCATATGCTGAAAATTCAGATCTGATTTGAGCTGTGGGTCCGTTAAAATATTTCAACTCCTGACACTAGACGGTTTGTGACCGGTCGACTGGATGTGATGTAGTCCAGTGTTGTCCATGCAGATCTGTGTGCACGAGATGAGAAATCTTAGTTTTTTCGTAATTTTTTCGAATCAGAAAAAACGTTTATATGAAAAAAAACATTTTATTCATAAATAAGTAATTAAAAAAATATTTTTTTAATGTTGTCTTCACATTCTCTTCAAAATCTTTCGTGGTCTATGAGTTTCTAGTATTCATCCATTCATTTAACCATGCAACCCCTCCATTTTTGCAACCCCTTTCTTTCTAAGAATCCAGCTTCTTTTCCATGGTACATGACAAAACTAAACGTTCTGTGTGACTACCACAAGGAGGCGTATTCCAACAGTCATGTCTGAATGTCATGCGCAGCGCAAAGGCAGCTTGACGCATACACATGCGTATGAATGGAAGTCTTTGAGGAGAAAAGTCCAGTGTGACCGCACCTTGAATGTCTCTTAGATTTTCACTGACAGCCCTGGTTTCACCTTGTTTTAGCCGAGCTGTCCATGTTTGGATGTCTATTAGACATCTATTAAACACAATTGTTTGCTGGGTAAAGCCTGCCAGAATTGTAATTTTGTCACCATGTCAAGCGTCACTTCATATTAACTGGCTAGTATTTCACATTGATGTTAAAGAATGTGGTCATCATGGGAGAAGACCAAAACAGATACAATTACATCAGTTACTTGCTGTTTATACTTAGTCTCTCTCTCACTCACAAATGCAAACACAGAATATATACATATTTATATAAGAATTATTTTGAATGATATTCAGCACTGTGACTGTCATAATATTCAGGCTGATCTTCTTTGGGATTATTCCAGAACAATAAACCTAATTTTTAAGTTCCATTCCCTTTTTATTTCTGACTGCACTTATATATGCACTCCTCCATGATTTGGTTATTTATGGACTTGACATGCTTCTCAACTGTCTGCTTCTTATTAAGTGATAAAGCATGCTTTTCATCTTAGCAACAGTAAGTCATTCAGTCTGCTCTTTGTCATTATAAAGTTTGTGTTTGGTCATTCTCTTCATATATAATATATTGTCAAACAGCATATCTACAAGTACATGAGAGTAATACTGACACTTTGTATTAAAGAAAAATGTCCCCAAGAAAAAGGTAAACTCTTTCATTCAGTAACCAAAGGCTTGGTTTGGCTCAAACAGGAGTACAAAAGACATGAGTCATTGGTTACTGGTTACTGGTCTGGATGGGTTTAAGACACCACTGAGAGATGGACAAGTGTAAGGCAAGGGAACAAGGAACGGTGTTTGAGATACTGCATTCAAGCTAACTTAAAGGGACAGTTCATTAAAACAAACAAATCTCAATTTAATATTAGCTCAACTAAAATAAAACATCACTCTTTTTGTGTTCTCTTGGAAGCAGTGAGTGATGCCATCATCACAATTTCTAGATAAGGAAATGAAAAAATACAAAAATCGACAACAGTAAGTAGACTTCAAGATAAATATCTAATAATTATAAATAAAAAAAAAATGCTCCTTCATTGGCTGTTGTCATATTCCTCTCCATGTATTGCTGCTTCAGAATCCGGGGATGTGACAGTATGTTTCCAATGAAGCCAACAGGATGTAGATCAGCCAGAGGGAAATGAAGAGTAAGGATGTCAATATCTTGCAAGTCCGTGGGCCGCCGAGTTCTCCTCCAGCCACTGAGGGGCGCCGGCGATACAACAGCACGCTGACACACACCACAGCCAAAGCCGTGAAGAGTGTGACAGAGAAGGCCAGAGAGCCCGGATCAACGTGAAAAGATTTGCCCTTGCTCCGCCAGTATATGGCAGCAATGGACCAGGCCACACCGATGCCCAGGAAAACATTGACAGCATTACTGCCTGTCACATTACCAATGGAGGCGTCAGCATATTGGTCTTGGATGGCAGCTACTTTGCTGGCAAAAGTGTCTGTGCAAAGGAGAAGCCAAATAAAAGCATGGTCAGATAAACACGATTATCATTAGCACTGCAAGCTCTTGTTATCATCTGAAAAAGAGAACAGGCTTGGATGGAAACAGAAGTGGGAAGTATTAGAAACAGAGGTCAAGGACAGGGAAAGGGGTAAGCAAAATACAAGAGCAAAAGAGGAACTAAGAGAAAAGGAAGAGAAAGAAAATAGGAGGAAGAGAGAATGATGAGAGTTAAGGTGAGTGAAAAAAATGAGAATGAAATAAATAAACAAAGAAACGAGCACACCAGCTGCAAACACGTGGCCTAGAGAAGAGTTAAACCACACATGAATGCCCTTCTGCTCTAATAAACAGCCACAACATATGCAACATAAACTGCCACATCCATTCACCTCCTTCATGATGATGAAGAAGAACTGCCAGGTGAGACAGACTCAATGAAGCAGAGTTATTTTAGTGATTACAATTATTATGGTCACACTTTACAATAAGGGTACCTAAGATAGTGTTGGTTAGTGTTGGTTTGCTTACATGAACTAATAATGAACAAAAGCACAGTCTATTATTCATAGCCTACATCAATATTTAGTAATGCATTATTAAAATCCAAATCCATGCTTGGTAGCATTAGTTAAAGGTGCAGTAGGTGATCTGCCAAAATGCTATCCGTTAGAATATCTTTGAAAACACAGTCCCAAAGCCCACCCCTCCTGAAATCATGTATGTGCACATTAAAGTTGACCGAGACCCACTAAATCATGTCATTCGTCAATTAGAAAACTTTAAAGTACTTTATGATACTACAACTCTGAACGAAAAACTGTACTGTATCTACTGTAGCAGGTTTTCAGTTGTGTAGTTAGCAAGCAAAACTTATCTTAATGTGCAATATTTCATGCATGCAAGGATCGCTGGTCTCACTCTCTCATGCGCTTTGTCCTAAAGAAACTGTTATGCTTAATGCTTAGCTGGTGATGTGCAGGAATTACACTTATTACTAAGCCATACCTACATGCTATTTCAGAGCCAATTTTTAGAGTAGCGGTGAACAATAAAAAGTCACAGGCTGTCAGTATTAAAAAATGAACCAATGTGAATATAAAACCACCTCAGTAAAGCAGACTAGGTGGAATAGCGCTATTTACTGATGTTTAGTTGTTAAACTAAATACAAATCTACATTATTGATGCTGTAAAAGGAGTCTATGAAACTGAAAATAGTCACATTAATCTTTCACGAGAAGATTTCTGAAAAACACTTCTGCACATATTATTAATTCATAATACAATAAAATCTACTTCAACATTTGCGTGACTAAAATAGTTTTAAAACAGAACATCACCTGTCTAACAAAAATACTTCAGCCATGGTGTCGTCCTTCCTTCAGTGGGCAAAACTAACTCAAATATTGATTCAGCATTTTAAAGTTTAGATTCAGCATTTATTTTTACTGGTGACTCTCTCTTGTGTGCAGTTAGGCGTGTCGTGTGTGCACATGCAAATGGTGGATCTGCGTGAACGGCTGCACATTTGTTCAAATATACATTTGTTGATAGACAGTTTAGGCTATTATCAGAATTATGAGAATTGTCGGCCTGACATATTTTAATTGGATGAATATTTTTTAGTCTTATTCCTTACCCAGAATATAAAAATACATATAAACACATTTAGATCATTTACTTTAATCAGTACTATTGGAATGTGAAGAGACTTTCAACCAGCACAACAACACGTGCTTCTGAAGACAATCACCTACCGCACCTTTAATGCATTGAGTTAACATGAGCTAACCATGAACAACATTATGTCCATTAACTAACCTCAACAAAGATGAATAAATGTATTGTTCATTGTTCATGATAACTAACATTAAATAATACAACCTTATTGTAAAATGTGATTTTGTTGTGCCATCGGTTATAAAACACATAAAAAAAGATTGGACTTAGCCTGGATGCCCATTTCTTTGCATTATTTAAAACACAATGATAAGCAGTTGGATCTGGGACCTTTTTCTTTTGGATACTAACCTGGAACTGATGTCCCCAAGGCAACAAAGACCACAGCGGTGACTGAATCCTTCAGGCCAACAGTGCACCCAAAGTGGGAAGCGAGATCACCAGTGACCGCTGTCAACGCACCGATTAAAAAGATGGAAACAATGAAGCAAGCCCATCCATTCCAGTACTCTGTAGGTGGGACAAAGGCAAAGAGAACCTTCCAGAAGACTGTCAGGAAGTGCATGATATAATCAAAGCAGGATGGAAGGCGTTCTTCACCACTCTCCTCCTCATCATCGTCGCCTGACAAAACAAATTACAAAAATGATGAGGAACATGTTAGAGTTAAAACTACCTTAAGATGTAAAAGAACATATTTACACTAAAAAAAGCTGTCATTGGTGTGGTTGCCAGAATTAATCATTTTATTTCTGTACAATAACCTGATCACTCATATCAATGTACATTTACAGTTTTTCTCAATTGCTAAACTATTTTCTCAAACAATTAAACTCAAAACATCATCTTCAAAAATCTTTACAAAACCACTGACTCCTCTTGCAAAATGAAGCTTTTGCCTCAAATCAGTTTCACCTGTGTTTAAAATCAAGCACTGCTCTCAATTAAAGTTTTTTTTTACTGCTTACACATGTTTTCAAAACCTGTCACCTTTTGTTTCAAAACTCAATGCACAATTTCAAAACTGCATACACAAAATGCAGAATGCCTCACATCTCCTTCAAAATCTAAACACGTCAGAATGAAATTCTGATCAATCAGATGTTCAGGGCCATACAATTTGTTCATTGTACAGTATATAGCCTACAGTGCACTTTACTACAGTATGCATTGCTAAAAGGGACACAGTCTTTTTTGAGTGGTTGTGTTTAATCAGTGACATCTTTTATCTATGTGTATTTTATTGTTGCTACTTGTGTTTACCAGTATAGATGACACATGCATTATACATGCATAAGTAAGAACTTTTTTATCATATAAATATTGTTGATATGTTTATACATATTCAAACAGATACAGCACAACATACACTTTAAACAAATTATGCTCAAAAATGGGCTTAGTATGACTTTTTTAGAAAGATCTTTTTAGAAAGAAGTGTTTAATAATCATCAAGACTGCATATATTTGATTACAAATACAGTTAAAACAGTAGCATTTTGAAAAAAATATATATAAATAATAATGATAATGATGCTGTTTTCTAATTTGATGTATTTAAAAATGTAATGTATTCTTGATGGCATGTCAGATAATCTAAAATCATTCTAATTATTCTTTATTCTAATTATTACAGTTTTCATTTTCAGCAATTAATATTTTTTTAATTAGCTTGACAGATTTTGACAACCTTTTTGTAATGAATGAAAGAAGGAAGGAATGAGAAACTGCTACTATGATGTGCACAAATGACTAATTGTGTTGAGAAATGCATTAACTGTTGTGCAAATGTAAATAGTTTTGTGAGAAATGCACCAAAGTAACTGAGAAAAACTGTAATTATTCTAAATGCTAGTATTATCAATATTTAAACAGAAATAAAAACAAACGAAAAAAGTTAGTACCATCCATTTTGATCATATTATTTTCTTGAATTAAAGCATTGATTTATTTTTTTAAATTTGGACTGCTAGTGTTCATTGTTACTTGTATGCATGCATTTAGGAATCAACAACTTATTTGGGGAGAGACCCTAAATACATGAATAAATATTAATAATTGTAAATGTGCAACAAATGATGGTCAAGTGACCACATGAATGAACAAACAAAAAGAAGCATCCGTACCTGCGCTGACAGTAACAGCACTGACAAACTGCTCTCTCCAGCTACTGCTGCCAACAACCAGAGCTAGGTTAGTCTTCTTAATGAGCTTATCCACTGTATTCTACACATGAGAGCGAGACAGCCACATATTAAGAACTGTTCCAGACCAGCTTACAGTCAACATGCTGCACAGCTTGATTCTATTGCATTGTTTGAGCTATTTTTATTGGTGGACAAATGACATTTACTGTGTATTTATTACATATTCAGAATTTTAATTATGTTTATACTGTAGACAAACAATAATAATGAATATTAGCCACATGTGATGATGCAGCCTAAATATTAAACAGCAATCACAATGCAGTTTTGAACAATTAAAAAAAAATTAAAAACTTTAGTTCAGAAAAATACTTATCGTGTATAAAGTCATATACTGTAAGGTTGATGAAAGCAGTATACCTTAAATTCATAAGATTCTTCAATCACCACCTCCAATCGAGTATGTTCTCCCAAACTGGGACATCCCATCTTTGCTACTTCCTCCTCCTCTGCCCCGATTTCTGGCTTATTCTCATTAGAGTCTCCTACAGCAAAAACATGATAAAAAATCACATTTGTTTGGCTATTAGAATGCAGATATTAAAAAGAAAAACAAAATTAGCACATAATGTTTAACAATGAATGTTGAAAGACACTTCCCAATTTTTTTAAACTGACAAGCAGGATATTTCATAAATCATACAAGTGTCATTGTGCTAACTGAATTGTAAGGTAAGCTGTTTGAAGATGAAAGTTATTAGTGAAATCAGTTAAAATAAAGTAGAGAATGGATAGCTAAGACGAGAATATACAGAGACTGCCAAGTATTTGTAATAAACTTTACTGCCTGAAGATATTAGTGTCTTTACTGTACACATTTCCATAGAGAAACTACTTTTTCTTATAAGACTTGGAATATGAAATCATGCATGCTAAGAGAAAGAAATTATTTTATTCCATTAAAATGTGTTGCTTAACAGAGCACTAATTAATGACTGCTGAACTCAATTCATCCACTTGTTTTTAATTTAGTTTTTCCTTTCTTTTATTTTTAACCTTTTATCTTTCATTTAAATTACCTCCATAAAAGGTATTTGTGGCTTCAACTGCACCTCTAATAAGTTATTTCTTTTCTGAGAATGTTCAGCAAAAAGAGACACATTAACATGGCTGCTTGTGAACATAAAACAGAATCTAAATTTTTAGCCTCTTCTATTTCAATTATTTTTTTCACTAATTAGTAAACATTCCCTCATAATCTTATTATTAAAGGTCTGACAATTTGCAATTATTCATTAATTCATTTTCTTGTCGGCTTAGTCCCTTTATTAATCCAGAGTCGCCACAGCGGAATGAACCGCCAACTTTTTTTTACGCAGCGGATGCATTTCCAGCCACAACCCATCTCTGGGAAACATCCACACACACACACTACAGACAATTTAGCCTACCCAATTCACCTATACCGCATGTCTTTGGACTGTGGGGAAAACCGGAGCACCCGAAGGAAACCTACGCAAACGCAGGGAGAGCATGCAAACTCCACACAGAAAAGCCAACTGAGCCGAGGCTCGAACCAGCGACCTTCTTGCTGTGAGGCGACAGCACTACCTACTGCGCCACTGCTTAACCCATTTTGCAATTAATGAATGTTAAATAAAAATACAAACACAAGTAGTGTCCACACACCAACTTTACATTTGATAAATGGCCACTATTTTTTTTAATTTGTTTATGGATGATGTTTTGTTGATTTTGCCAGGAGATATCACCGTCACAGAATATATAATAATAGTATACTTCTTCTTCTTCTTCTTCTTCTTCTTCTTATTATTATTATTATTATTATTATTATTATTATTATTATTATTAAGAAGAAGAAGAAGAAGAGTCAGAATAGTAAGACATACTGTAGTTAGCTTTATTATTTCACCCAGTGGTGAAAATAAATATCAGTAATTAATTATTAATTATTTACCAGTGATATTTTTTTTCTAATTTTATATACACACGGTGGTGCAAAAAGGTGTTTGCTTATGACTTTTCTTTTTTTTTTTTTTTTTTTGCATGTTTGTTACACTTTAAAGTTTTAGATCATTGAAAAAATTATAATATTAGTCAAAGATAACACAAGTAAATATGTCATGCAGTGTTGAAATGAAGGTTCTTATTATTAAGCGAAAACAAAACACAAAACTACATAGCCCTGTGTGAAAAAGCAGCTTTGCTCTAAATCCAAAAACCTGTTCGAGCCACACTTTCCCACAACAACAATCAAGCTTTTTTGATAACTTGCAATGAGTCAGTAACAGAGCTGTGGAGGAACAATGGGCCACTCATCTTTGCAGAATTGTTGTAATTCAGCTTTTTTGAGGACATGCTACAGCATCTCAGTTGGATTCAGGTCTGGTCTTTGACTAGTTTGACTAGTTGGCCGATCACTCCTGAAAAAGTGACCATTTGTATAAAATGGCTCTCCCTATAGACCAATTGCCATGTTTATAAATGCGCGCATGGAGGTGGCAGAAAAAAAAGGAAGCGCTAGCATTTACAGCGAGGGAATAACATCCGATGTGGTACAGAGTTTGTTGTTGTCTTAGAAAAAAGATATATTGATTACATATTAAATATATTATTTACATAATGCTTTCAGCATATTATAACAGACAAAATTAATGTTAAAGTAAGCGGCGTTCGTCTGACAGATCCATTTGCGATAGCACCCTCCTAATAAATTTGGATAAGAAGAAATGACCAAGCGTACCCAAAATATACAATTTCATTAAAGCTCCAGGTGATTTTACAAGAGAAAAGATAAAGGCCTACAAGTGTTTAGATGCCAACAATGTTGTTCTGTGTGGTCATGTGCAAGAAATAATGTTCCATGATTACTAGATTCAGCACTATGTAGTGCTAATAACCAAGGTTCTGCCTAGCCAAAGACAAGGAAAAAAGATGGAGCTGTACAAAGCCTGGGTAATTAATCATCAACAAGCAAAACTACTGCATTCTGACAGTGAACTACACCTGTACGGCAGGGTATGTGAACCTATACATAGAGGTAAAGTTGGTTTTATTTTTGCACATTCTGACTTTCTCTATAATAATATAATTTCATAAAAGTATTATTTGCAAACTCTAAATAGCGAAATCATATTAGCAGCAATGACTATCAAACTACAACATTTTTTTTTTACAACAGTCAAATAAACAGTGTTAATGTTGTTTTCAAGTCACACTTGCAGATTATTTCAGACTGAATAATCAAAGTGCCGTGGAAAACAATATAGGGAGTGTGTCACAAGTTGTCACTGAATGAATTTGTGAATATAAAACCAACTTTACCTTAATAACTTAGCATTACACTTTCACGTTTTATTCTTAGCATTCAGTGTCGGCAGTTTAACTAACCATATGTAAATTAGTAATGAGTATTCAGCATAGTGTGAACTTACCTGATATAATATGAGAGCTGTAGAGTTGAGGATTTCTAAGTGGGTCGTCACTTCATTTAGCTCCCTTTTAGCCAAAGACATCTACAGTTGGCATTAAAGCAGTGTGGTGTATGGTAAAAGTAAAGTTTTCTATTTTTTTTTTCTATTTCTAATTCGACATCCTACTAGTCCCAAAATTTAAGTTTTTTTCACATATTATTTTGCATCTCAGCATGATGTTTAACTTTTGAGGATCCTTTTGTCTACTTCATATTGTCAGGCAGGTCTTAATTAAGTGACTGATTGATCGCGAACAGGTGTGGTAGTAATCAGGCCTGGGTGTGGCTAGAAAAATTGAACTCAGTTGTGATAAGCCAGAGTTAAGTTAAGTTTTAACAATGGTGGCAACCGCTTTTTCACATAGAGCTATGTACTTGATTATGTGTGTATGAAGTTACTAAAAATACATTAACAGACAATTTACCATGCTTCTGTCCAATCTCAAGTAGCACTGGCTCGCCTAACTCAATGCTGAAGGTCTTATTCTTTTCATACTCTTCATCGTCTATAATCTTCACCTCAATTGTTTTCCTGTAAAGAGAGAAAAACAGACACAGTGACACTGAACATTGTCATTCCTTTAAAAACACTTACATAATTGTAATTGCTCTAACACATGTACTCAGAGGCTGTGAAACTATGATGTTAACGACAATAATTTCAGTTTGATGAACATGCCTATTCATTTGTACATCACGCTAGAATTTGCATAACTCTGACATGCAGTAAACAAGCACACACCCAACATACATCATCGTTCCACTCATTAATAATGACATGCTGTAGTGCCAATGTGAATGTCATTGAGGGCAGAAACTTTACAATAATTGCTTCATAATTAATAAACAAAGTGAGAACATCTTACTCCCTCAGAGCTTATTACAGCATTGCTTTCCTCAAACAGCAACCTTGAGCTATAATAAGAACTGTGCAGCTAAACAAGTACACTGAAACTGGTCAGACATTAATTAACTTAAACTAATAAATATACAAATAAAACCTATACAAATATAGTATCAATTTCTGTACACATGCCACAGCAATTTTTTGTCAGCAATGTTTATGAACATTTTTATGTTAGTTTAATGTAATATTTTCAATTTTATTGTTGAGCTAAAATTGTATTGTTTTAAAAAATGAGAAAACAACTAAAACGAGTCTCAGAAATTACCAAGAAACAGAAAAAATATACTAATCCTTGGAAAATTTGAAAACACGCAGCCTTTAGACAAATACAGTCAGCATGGTATACTAATAATATATTATTATTACTATTATTATTATTATTATTATTATTATTATTTTAAGTCTCATATGAAATCATAACCCCTAAGCCAACCTCAAGAGGAATGTTATTATGCCTTTAAAACTACTTTCACCAGCGTCTGACTTCATTGCACATTCATTCATCTTTGTTCAATTAAAGCGACAGATACATTAAATTAAAGCAGGTTTAATCAATCGCTCTCATCTTTTTCTGTGAGGAACAAAGAGTGAAACAGACACAGACAAAGTGAGCAAATACATTTTTTATAGAGGTTGAAAAATTCTACTGTTAATGTTGAGATTTTCTGCTCTACAAAGAGCCATGCAATTGAGTATAGAGCACAGTACACACACATTGAGTAGAATAAGCGCACAGTATATCTCAAAAGAAAGTGTTCTGAATCTGAAATGATAACAGATCACAAGTGCCTCTTAATCTTCCTCCCCAGTGCAGCAATTTCAACACGTTTCCTCTCCTCATGTTTCGCTCAATCTATTAATTCAATGTCAGCTTGACTGATCAACCTTTACTTAGATTATTCATGAGATGAGGACTGTGGGAATACAGTTTTACTTGCCCTGGGCTCTTCCTTTGACTTCTTCCAACTTCTGTTGTTCTCTTAAAGGAATAGTTTACCCACAAATGAAAGCTCTGTCATCATTTACTCACCCTTGACTTTATTGCTATATATTCTGTTAAACACAAATATATACAGTTGAAGTGAGAATTATTAGCCCCCCTGTTTATTTCATCCCCAATTTCTGTTTAATGGAAATATTATTTTCAACACATTTCTACATATAATAGTTATAATAACTCATTTCTAATAACTGATTTATTTTAGCTTTGCCATGATGACTAGTTTTTCAAGGTTTATTTGTTTAACTAGGCAGGTTAGGGTAATTAGGCAAGTTATTGTATAATGATGGTTTGTTCTGTAGAGTATCAAAAAATATAGCCTAAAGGGGCTAATAGTTTTGACCTTAAAATCACTTTTAAAAATAAAAAAACTGTTTTTTTTTTCTGGCCAAAATAAAACAAATAAGACTTTCTCCAGAAGAAAAAAAAATATTATCAGACATACTGTGAACATTTCCTTGCTCTCTTAAACATCATTTTGGAAATATCAAAAAATAAACAAAATAATAATAAGTTTGATTGCAACTGTATACAGTTGAAGTCAGAATTATTAGCCCCCCTGTATTATTAGCGCTCTTGTTTATTTTTTCACCAATTTCTGATTAATGAAGGGACGATTGTTTCATCACATTTCTAATCATAATAGTTTTAAAAACTTATTTCTAATAACTGATTTATTTTCTCTTTGTCATGATGACAGTAAATAATATTTTACTTTATATTTTTCAAGACACTTCTATACAGCTTAAAGTGACGTTTAAAGGCTTAAATACGTTAATAAGGTTAACTAGGCAGGTTATGGTAATTAGGCAAGTTATTTTATAATGATGGTTTGTTCTGTAGATTATCGAAAAATAAATTAGCTTAAAGGGGCTAATAATTTTGTCCCAAAAATGGTGTTTAAAAAATTAATAACTGCTTTTATTTTAGCCGAAATAAAACAAATAAGACTTTCTCCAGAAGAAAAAATATTATCAGACATACTGTGAACATTTCCTGAATCTGTTAAAAATAATTTGGGAAATCTAAAAAATAAATAAATAAAATCAAAAGGGAGCTAATAATTCTGACTTCAACTGTATATCTCAAATAATGTTAAAAAGTTTAAACTTGTAACCACTGACATAGAACAATAGTATTTATTTTTACATGAAACTAGTCAATAGTTACATGTTTCCAACATTCTTCAATAAATCTTATTTTGTGTTCAACAGAATAAAGAAAACAACTTACTTGTTTGGAACTGCAATTTTTTAATGCATGAGTGATTTTTTACTACCAAAGTAGCAAATCACTCTGACCTTCCAGTTCTCCCGCTCACATACACTCTCTTCCTTCCCTCCCTCCCACTAGTAAATTTGCTCATGCCCTCCATCCCGGTCTCTATTCAATTCCTCTTCCCTCACTTCACTGGGCTCTTATTAGATTTGTGTGTGTGTATGCGCTTGTGTGTGTGTGTGTGTGTGTGTGTGTGTGTGTGTGTGTGTGTGTGTGTGTGTGTGTGTGTGTGTGTGTGTGTGTGTGTGTGTGCGTGTGTGTCTGTTCTTGAGCAGAATCCAGCAGCTCAATTAAGATCTTGTCAGCTATGTGTTTTATTGCATTTGCCTGCTGCTTCTCCTTCACACACACATTTTTCTTTAATATTCTAAAAGAATAAGGAGGAAGGAAGCCAAAGAAAAAAAGTAAAGAAGGAAAGTAGGGACAGAAAGTAAAAGAAGGAAGATAAATCCTACCCAATGATTGTTTACCTATTCTATCTATGCTGTTTTAACACCAATTTTACTAAATGATTGATGTAAATCAGGCAACAGCGCAAGCTTGACCAAAATATCTTTGGTAAAGTCAATTTTGCATTCCATTTTCAGGTTTGTTTCAGAGCACAATTAAGATTTTGAGTGCTAGGTTGTGTAAGATGCAGAAGATTAAAAGCATCTGGTGCACTTTGCAAGGTCTGCACTACACCTGAAATGGCTCTTTCTACGTTCCTGCACTTTGCAGACACTTTTATCCAAAATGACTATCATTACATTAAAATGTGTGGTCCACTATGATATGTTATTTAGCTGTAGCTGTGTGAACATGAACAACATCTCTGAATGCAATATGCTTAAAGTTCAATGCAAATGTGAAACATTAGCTTTGACAGAGTTAGCTTGGCAAACCCTACAGCGAACAAAGTTTGGGCACTACAAAAATATACATCCGGGCGAGTGAGATCACAAACCCTCCAGGTCACGCGCATACACCCCGTGCAGCGAAGGGGCTTTGCCAAAGGCACTCTAATGATATAGCAGAGAAAGCTAAAATGGAATCCGAACGCTTCTATTTCCACAGAGCTTCTTCTGTTTCTGCATTTGTGCATCTCAAATAAAAAACTCATAGATATTTGAATGTTTCATATTACTTACACATGCTTATAACCTGAATATATGTGAAAGACACTTGTCGGGCTCAAACATAAACTAGATTAAGCCAGATAATAACACAATGTTCCTCTGTAGAACTGACTTTGCATGTATTTTAGCTGAAACTTGCAAACTTTCTGTTGGTATTAAACTGGATTAATTTAACACAACTGCTTTGTAGCTGCATTGTTTTTCACAACTGTAGCTTTCCTTTCACAGATGAAGTTGAATTATTTTCATTCATTCATTCATTCATTCATTCATTCATTCATTCATTCATTCATTTTCCTTTAGCTTAGTCCCCTTATTCATCAGGGGTTGCCACAGCGGAATGAACCATCAACTTATCCAGCATATGTTTTACACAGGGGATGCCCTTCCAGCTGCAACCAAGTGCTGTCTACTATTGCCAGTTTAGTTGGGCTACATGAGGAGAACATGCAAACTCCACACAGAAATGCCAATTAAATTTTAGATTTAAAAATTTGCTAGTATATGTAGTACAAAATTTAATAAAGAAAGTATATTAAGAAAGCACTGACAGATAACTTACACTGACTGTAATAAATTACATTTCTTAAAAAATGACTTTAAGCTGCAAACCCGAGTGAAATAATTAGAAGATGAATCCAGGCTGAGCAGTAGCCTCATTTAACCCACATAGGTCGAAGACCGCGTATACGCGTTTTGATGCATCTTCTTCTCATAATGCTGAAAAGAACTTAAATTACACTTTTAGTTTTGATCGTACAGAAAAGATCAATACATCAATCAAATCTGTTTGGTGTCTAGATTTTATTGTGTACACTTACAATGACAACACACGTTTGTGCTTTTGCAAAATAAGGATAATAAACAGTGTATGCATTCTGTCTTTCTCTCCATGAACTGTTTTTAGAAACACGTCCGTAAAATGCACTGAAACTCAGCAAAAACAAAACACGCAGACATGAGACGTATATCTATAGAAAGCTTAAAGTGTCTACTTTTAAATGCAGCGAGTGCATGTTGAAAACAAATATTGTTTGATAAAGTAATCAGTATGAAACCAACTCTATGTCTAGTTTCTCAGTCTGAACTCATTAGAGTTAATTCTACCACTCCCACAAGGCTTTGTTGTTAGCATCATCTGCAAGAGATGCATGCAACATGTCAAGTGTTTCATGGCATAAAACGACAAGCTTTATCATAGATAAGCACGCTACTTTGGATGGTATTGG